CGTCTGTTGATGGGCACCTAGGTTGTTTATATCTTTTTGCTATTGTGAACAGTGCTACAATGAACATGGGTGTGCATATTTGTGAACGTGCTACAATGAACGTGGGTGTGCATATATCTACTTGTGTGGCGGCTCTTATTTCTCTAAGATATATTGAAGTCTTTTGATAAGCATAAGTGTTTTAATTTTTAGGAGCTCCCAGTTATCAAATTTGTCTTTTGGTGTTTGTGCATTGTTAGTTGTGGTTTGTATTGTATTTATGCCATGTATTAAGGCCCCTAGCATTGTCTCTATTTTTTCTTGCATGATCTTTATCATTTTAGGTTTTATATTTAAATCTTTGATCCATTTTGAGTTAGTTTTTGTGTGTAGCGTGAGATAGAGGTCCTATTTCATTTGTTTACAGATGGACATCCAGTTATGCCAGCACCATTTGTTGTTTTTTCCCCATTACATGGACTTTGGCCCTTTGTCAAATATCAGCTCCCCATAGGTGGCTGGATTTATTCTGGATTCTCAATTCTGTTCATTGGTCTGGGTGTCATAGTTGTACCAGTACCAGGCTGTTTTGACTACTGTGGCTGTATAGTAGGCTCTAAGATCAGGTAGTATGAGGCCCTCTACTTTGTTCCTTTTCTTCAATAATGCTTTATTTATCTGGGGCGTCTTCTGTTTCCATGTAGAGTTGGTGATTAGTTTCTCCATCTCGTTAAAGAATTTGGATCAGGATTGCATTAAATCTGTAGATCGCTTGGCTGGTATTGACATTTTCACAATGTTGAGAGCATGGTATGTTTTTCCATTTACCTAGGTCTCTTGGTTTCTTGAAGTAGTGTTTTGTAGTTTTCTTTGTGTAGGTCTTTTATGTCCCTGGTTAGATTTATTCCTAAGTATTTTACCTTCTGTGGGGCTGTTGTAAATGGTATTATTTTTCTCATTTTCTTTTTGAAGTTCTCTTTGTTGGTGTAGAAGAATACAGCTGATTTTTTGTGTGTTAATCGTGTATCCTGCTACTTTGCTGAAACCTGCTGTTAGTTCCAGTAGCTTTCTTGTGATTCTTTTCGGTTTTCTCTGTATAGGATCATATCATCTGTGAATAGGGATAGTTTTACCTCTTCCTTACCAATTTGGATGCCGTTTGTTTCTTTTTCTTACCTTATTGTTCTAGCTAGCACTTTAGCACGATGTTGAATAAGAGTGGTCATAAAGGACATCTTTGTTTGGTTCCCGTTCTCAAGGGAAATGTTTTCAGTCTCTCTCTGTTGAGCATAATATTGGCTTTGTATAAATGGCTGTTGGCTTTGTATAAATACCCTTTATTATGTTGTATAAATTTCCCTTCTATTCCTGTTTTGCCGAGAGTTTTTATCTGGAATGGGTGTTGGACTTTGTCAAATGACTTTTCTTTATCTATTGACATGATCATGTGATTCTCTTGTTTTACTTAGGTGGTTGACTACATTGATTGATTTTGTAGTACTTTTAAATATCTGGTAGATTTAATCCCTTTTTATACCTCTTACTCTTTAGTGTTTTCCTAGCCATTTTTGTGAATTTGTTTTTGTATATGAACTTTAGTGTCAAGGTGTCCAGCATTTTAAAGCTCACTGGTATTTTTATTGGGAGCACATTAAGTTTATTAAATATCTTAAGTAGAATGTCTTAATGGTATTGCGATCTGCTAACCAAGAACATAGAACATCTTTCCATTTGTTCTAGTCTACTTTTGTGCCTTTCAGGAATGTTTTATTTATTTTTATTAAGTTTCTTGTCAAGTTTATTCTTTATTATTTTTTTCTTTTATGTTGCTATTGTAGATGGTTTTTTTTTCATCCACTATAAATCTTTTAACAGGTTATTATTTGTATCAGTTACATTTTTTACTTTATACTTATTGTACAAGCTCTTTCAGACTTACTTGTACATGGATTTTTTAAAGCTTATTTCACTCCTGTTCATACATGTAAAGGAAAATATTAAAAATCCTTGATATTCAAAGTCGAAATATTCTGAATTTTTTTTAAATTGTGCTTTAAGTGAAAGTTTACAGCCTAAGTTAATTTCTCATACCAAAATTTATACACACATTGTTATGTGACCCTAGTTGCTCTTTCTACAGTGTGACAGCACACTCCTCCTTTCCACCCAGAATTTCCCGTGTCCATTCAACCAGCTCCTGTCCCTTTCTGCCTTCTCATCTTGCCTCTGGACAGAGCTGCCCAGTTAGTCTCATGTATCTACTTAACCTAAGAAGCACACTCTTCACGAGTATCGTTATAGTCTTATAGTCCAGTCTAGTCTTTGTCTGAAGAGTTGGCTTCGGGAATGGTTTGAGTTCTGGGTTAACAGAGAGTCTGGGGGCCATGTCTTCTGGGGTTCCTCCAGTCTCAGTCAGACCATTAAGTCTGGTCTTTTTACTAGAATTTGAGTTCTGAACCCCACTTTTCTCCTGCTCTGTCAGTGATTCTGTGCTGTGTTCCCTGTCAGGGCTGTCATTGGTGGTAGCTGGGCACCATCTAGTTCTTCTGGTCTCAGGCTGATGGAGTCTCTGGTTTATGTGGCCCTTTCTGTTTCTTGGGCTAATATTTTCCTTGTGTCTTTGGTGTTCTTCATTCTCCTTTGCTCCAGGTGGGTTGGGACCAATTGATGCATCTTAGATGGCTGTTTGCTAACTTTTAAGACCCCAGATGCCACTCACCAAAGTGGGATGCAGAACATTTTTTTAATAAACTTTGTTATACCAGTTGTCCTAGATGTCCCCTGAAACCATGGTCCCCAGACCCCCACCCCTACTACTCTCTCCTTCGAAGTGTTTGTTTGTATTCAGGAAACATCTTAGCTTTTGGTTTAGTCCAGTTGTGCTAACTTCCCCTGTATCGTGTGTTGTCCTTCCCTTCACCTAAGGTAATTCTTGTCTACTATGTAGTTAGTGAGTACCCCTCTCCCTCCCTCCCCACCGTCGTAACCATCAAAGAACGTTTTCTTCTGTATTAAAACCTTTTCTTGAGTTCTTTATGATAGTAGTTTCATACAGTGTTTGTCCTTTTGTGACAGACTAAATTCACTCAGCCTAATGCCTTCCAGAATAATCCATATTATGAGATGTTTTGTGGATTCATCGGTGTTCTTTATTGTTGTGTAGTAGTCCATTGTGTGAATATATCATAATTTGTTTATCCATTTATCTGTTAATGGGCACCAAGGTTGTTCCCATCTTTTTGCTGTTGTGAACAGTGCTGCAGTGAACATAGTTGTGCATGTATCTGTTTGTGTGATGGCTCTTATTTCTCTAGGATATATTTGAAGGAGTGGGATTGCTGGATCGTATGGTACTTCTATTTTTAGCTTTTAAGGAAGCACCAAATCAATTTCCAAAGTGGTTGTACTGTTTTACATTCCCACCAACAGTGTGTAAGTGTTACAGTCTCTCCACAGCCTCTCCAGCATTTATTATTTTGTGTTTTTTTGATTAGTGCCAGCCTTGTTGGGGCGAGATGATATCTCATTGTAGTTTTGATTTGCATTTCTCTAATGGCTAATGATCGTGAGCATTTCCTCATGTGTCTGTTGGCTGCGTGAATGTCTTCTTTGGTGAAGTGCCTGTTGATATCCTTCACCAATTTTTTAATTGGGTTATTTGTCTTTCTGTTGTTGAGGTTTTGCAGTATCTTGTAGATTTTAGAGATTAGACCCTGATTGGGTATGTTGTAGCCAAAAGTTTTTCCCAGTCTGTAGGTAGTCTTTTTACTCTTTTGGTGAAGTCGTTTTTTTTTTTTTTTTTAATTTTATTGTACTTCAGGTGAAGGTGTACAGCACAAATAGTTTCTCATGAAACAGTAGTACACATATTGTTTTATGACATTGGTTAACAACCCCACAACCTGTTAACCCTCTAAATTCTCAACCTTTTTTTTTTTTTTTGGTGAAAATACACATAGCCAAAGATACACCATTTCAAAAATTTCTACATACACAGTTCAGTGACATTGACTACGCTCTTCCAGTTGTGCTGTTATTCTCACTTAAGATGAAGGCTTACAGAACAAAAGAGTTTCTCATTTAACAGTTACTACAAATGTTGCCCTATGACAATGGTTAACAATCTCACAACACATCAACAATATCCTTACTCAATCTTGGGTTCCCTATCACCAGCTTCCTTGTCCCCTTCTGCCTTCTGGCCCTTGTCACTGGACTCCTGTACCTCGTTAGTCTCATTTGGTTTTACGGGGCTGTCCACTCCCAGGCTGAACAGTGAACCTCGGAGGTAACTTCACCACTGAGCTAAAAGGGTGTCTGGGGACCACATTCTCGAGGTTTCTCCAGTCTCCTTTATGCTAGCACCATTTCTTAAAGAGACTGTCTTTTCCCCAGTTAACAGACTTTGGGCCTTTGTCAAATATCAGCTGCTCATAGGTGGATGAATTTACATCTGGAGTCTCAGTTCTGTTCCATTGGTCTGTGGTTCTAAAATGAGGTAGTGGGAAGCTTCCACTTTGTTTTTCTTTTTCAGTAATGCTTTACTTATCCACAGCCTCTTCACTTTCAGTATGAAGTTGGTGATTTATTTCTCCATCTCATTAATACATGCAGTTGGAATTTGGATGGAGATTGCATTGTATTTGTAAATCACTTTGGGTAGAATTGACATTTTCACAGTGTTGAGTCTTCCTATCCATGAGCAAGGTATGTTTTTCCACTTTTATGTAGGTCTGTTTTGATTCTTGGCAGTAGTGACTTGTAGTTTTCTTTGTATAGGTCTTTTAGGTCTCTGGTTAGATTTATTCCTAAGTATTTTATCTTCTTGGGGGCTGTGTAAATGGTATTGATTTTGTGATTTCATCTTCAGAGTTCTCTTTGTTGGTGTAGAGGAATCCAACTGAATTTTGTATGTTTATCTTGTATCCTGAAACTTTGCTGAATCTATTAGTTCCAGTAGTTTTCTTGTGGATTCTTTGGGGGTTTCTGTGTGTAAGATCATGTCATCTGCAAATAGAGATAAAAATATGGAATGCTTCACGAATTTACGTGTCATCCTTTTGCAGGGTGATGCTAATCTCTGTATCGTTCCAGTTTTAGTATATGTGCTGGTGAAGCGAGCACCTGAATTACTTTTTGATTCAGAGTTCTTGGTGTCTGTTTTTACTCATTATCATGCTGTTTGCCATAAAAAATGTTGGTGGTGTTGCCTTCTTATCATCTCTGGGATTTTCTGCCAAGCCATTGTCACCCATTTTGCAAATTTTGATGCGGTTGCTTCTTTTTTATTAGAAGGTGTCAGTGGAAGGTATTTAAAATAACCAGGAGTTGTATTCCTTTCTCAAATGATACTTGAATGGTTTCTTCACAAGAATAGTTGTAGTTGTCCAGTTATATCTCTAGAAATAACAATCCAGTTTGGACAGATAAGGTTGACATCATGACTGCTACCTAGTAACAAAGATACCACCTGCCTTAGTCGTCTAGTGCTGCTTTAACAGAAATACCACAAGTGGATGGCTTTAACAAAGAGAAGTTTATTCTCTCAGAGTCCAGTAGGCTACAAGTCCAAATTCAGGGCATCAGCCCCAGGAGAACGCTTTCTCTCTCTGTCGGCTCTGGAGAAAGGTCCTTGTAATGCATCAGTCTTTCCTTGGTCTGGGAGCTTCTCTGCACAGGAAACTCAGGTCCAAAGGACGCGCTCTGCCTTTAGCACTGTTTTCTTGGTGATATGAGGTTCCCATGTGTCTCTGCTCGCTTCTCTCTTTTATATCTCAAAAGAGATTGCATTAAGACACTACCGTATCTTGTCAACCTCATCAGTATAACCTCATCACAGTGATAGAATTTACAACACATAAGGAGATCACATATAATCTCATCATAGTGATAGGGTTTACAACACATAAGGAAATCACATCAGATAACAAATCATACAATACTGGGAATCATGACCTAGCCAAGTTGCTACACACATTTTTTGGGGGACACAATTCAGTCCACGACACCACCCGAATGTAATATGCTGTAGTTTCAGAGATTTTAAAAAACCAGTTGCTTCTGAGTTGATTCCAACTCATGGTTGACTTTGGGCAACTGTGCTTTTTGAAAAATAGCTCTGAGATAGTATTCTTCAATGATGGCTGCAACAACGTCTCCCATCTCACTGATCTTAAAATTTGAGTGAGAGGTAAAGTCCGTGTCCCCTCCTTTTTAGATTAGTAGATCTTTTGTGACTTTCCTGGAGCCCTGGTGACACAGTGGTTTAGAGCTCAGCTGCTAACCAAAAAGTTCACTGTTCAAATCCACCAGCTGCTCCTTGGAAACCCTACTCTGTTCTGTAGGGTTGCTATGAGTTGGATTTGACTCAGCGGCAACAGGTTTGGTTTCTTTTTTTCATTTTTGTGATTTTCAACCTATACAGTACTGAAGAAGCTATAGTATGTGACTTTTGAGGCTAGTTGGAATAGTTGTGTTTGGAGCCCTGAGCTGCAGTGTAAGCAGTTCAGCTTTGGAGACCACCAAACTGTGAGGATGCTCATACTAGCCCATGTAGGGGGACCGCTTGGAAAGGCCCTGAAACTGTATGAAGGCAGCGATGTTCAGATCTAGCCACTGTCTGACTGCAACTGCACGAGAGACTTAAAGCCAGAACTGCTTATCCCAGCCAGTCCTGAATTCCTATCTCACAGAAACTGGGAGAGGTAATAAAATGATTGTTGTTTTTAAATAACTTAACTTTGGAGCAATAAGGTAGGCAGCAATCGATAACTGGAGTATACTCAAAACTGGAGAGAGAGCTCCTGAAATACTTAGCAGAGCTCCTGTATTCAAACAATGTATTATAAAATAAAGGACCTTATTGACTTGATTTAAAAAAAATTTATTTTTTATTGAGATATAAGTCTCATACCATAATTCTCTCGTAAGTGTACAGTTCACTGCTTTTAAATATATTCAGAAGGTTGTGTGGCCATTACCACTATCTAATTTCAAAACATTTTTATCACCCCCCAAAAGAAACCCCTTACCCATTGGCTGTCACTCCCCATTCCTTCCTCCCTCCAGTCCCTGGCAACCACTAATCTAATTTTTGGCTCTGTTATTGACTCAAATTAATATTTCATTTTTAAACGTGGTTGTCTATTTTCTTAGTACATTTGAAATAATAAAATAGAAGGATCTTGAGAGTGCTTTAGATTGGTTTAATGACAGCAGCAGTGACAGCTGAGAGTGTGACAGTATGGAGGATCCAGAGTAAATAAAACTATAGTAGGCTTCATTATCTAAAGAACAGTAATGATAGGACTGATGAATGAATATGTGTCATCAGGAAAATGTTATATTTAGTTACCCTTTTAAGGAGCCAGCGAATTCTGCATTTCCTATTAGAAAGTATCTGGGAAAAACGTTGAAAATAAAAAGGGCAAATAAAATTAAAAATGGCACCTTTTGAATATTTAAAATGAAAAAGTGGGTATTAATGTCTATCTTTCAGAGTTGTTAACATTAAATGAGATCCTGTCAATAAGAGCTGTAGACTGTTAGATATTCAGAAAAGGTATCTGTAAATTTCCTCTCACTTTTTTAGATGAACATACATATTTTTAGTCTTTATTTTGAGAAAGATTTCAGAGCTACACCTGTAATTTCTACTTGGACGATAAGGACTTGGTAAAATTTGGAGTTATAAGTTCAAACTTAGAAGCAATCATTTTCAAATGGTGGTCTCCAAAGTGTGATGCTTAAGATGACTCATTAAAGTGTAAGAACTAATTATTAGAATTTGTATTCATTTTTTAAATAAAAAATTAGAAATAATTAAGCTTTATACTGGTACCCCTCATTCTGTCAGATTGATGATCAAGTGAGATTTATAGTTTTTATGGCATTTCTGAGGAAGCCTGGAGGGGTTGATAATGGAAACCTCACCTATGTGTTTCCTTTCAGCTTATTGTGATATGTTACTGGTGCAGAAATGAATTTAAAGATTATATTATTTTATTTTAGTTTTTCCTGGAAAAATTTTTTTCTTTAAAAATTTTTTTTTTTTATTCTACTTTGGGTGAATGTTTACAGAACAAATAGTTTCTCATTAAACAGTCAGTACACATATTGTTTTATGACATTGGTTAACAACCCCTCGACATGTCAACACTCTCCCTTCTCGACCTTGGAGGACCTTTTTTTTGGTGGAAATATACATAGCCAAAGTTACACCGTTTCAAAAGTTTCTACATGTACAATTCAGTGACATGGATTACATTCTTCCAGTTGTGCTGCTATTCTCTATGCTTTTCTAAATCATTCCATCACCATTATCTTCAACTCACTGCCCCCTAGGCTTTCCATCAAACCTTTTGAGTTGCTGTTGTCAATTTGATCTCACATAGATCATTTTTTTTTCCTTAGATGAAGGTTTGCAGAACAAATAGTTTCTCATTAAACAGTACACATATTGCCCTGTGACATTGGTTAACAACCCCACGGCATGTCAACACTGTCCCTTCTTAACCTTGGGTTCCCTATCACCAGCTTTCCTGTCTCCTCCTGCCTTCAAGTCCTTGTCCCTGGACTGCTGTGCCTCATTAGTCCCATTTTGTTTTATGAGGCTGTCCAATCCCCAGCTGAACGGTGGTTTTAGTGAGTGTGATTGTGATATGCCTTGGTGATTTTCTGTTGGGGTCTATCCTATGTGGGGTTCATTGAGCTTCTTGGATGGTCATCTTTTCCTCTTTCATGATATTGGGGAAGTTTTCTGTCAGCAGTTCTGCATTGATCCTCTGTGTTTTCTGTTTTCTCCCCCTGTTCTGGAACTCCGATCACTCGAAGATTTTTGCTTTTGATTGTATCCCACATAATTCTCAGAGTTTCTTCAATTTTTTTCATTGTTTTTTCTGATTTTTCCTCAGAGTTGTATCTGAGTGTTTGTCTTCAGTTTCGCTGATCCTGTCTTCCATTGTTTTAGACTTGCTCCTCAGCCCTTCTATGACACTGTCCATTTCTGAAGTCTTGTTGTTTATCTTTTGGATTCCTAATTGTTGTTTTTGTATGTTTCTAGTTGTGAATTTATTTAAGCATTTTATTCCTGTATTATTTTCTTGAATTCTTCCTTTTTTTGTCTGTATTTTCTATGAATTTATTTGCCTTTTCCATGAATTTGTCTATTTTTTCTTCCTTTTTTGTCTACTTTTTGCATCAACTCTTGGATAATTCTGAATATTAGAGATTTGAATTCCCTATCAGTTAGGTCTAGTGCCTTTTTTTCTACTGGAAGGTCATCTGGTGTTTTATTTTGGATGCCTACTGGAACCATCATGTCCTGTTTTTGTAAATGTTTTGATATTGTCTGCTGTCTTCGAGACATTGAGTAGTTGTTTTCCTCGTTTATTGATTGTAGATTTGTTTGTTTCATCCTGCTTTTTTGTTTTATTTGGTTATGTCTGAGCAGGTGGGCTGTGTGTTCTTTGTTGTTTGCTTGTCTGTGGGCACGATACTTTTTACCTCCTTCTCCAATGGGCAGGAACAGTTGCTCAGGTATGGTACAGCAGGGCACTACTGGCTAAAGGGGAGTTGCTGAGATGGGTTGTTTGTGGCACGTACCAGGGCTGACAGTGTGGATTGGGAATCAGTGCAGGGCAGGTTCCAGTAGGCAGTGCCTGTACTGCTTGGGAGTGTGATGTTCAATGCACAGTGCAGGTACGCATGAATGAGGGGGTAGATTGTGATGTGTGGAGCTAAGATGGGTATGGGAAAGAGGAGAGAGAGGAGAGAGGAACAGGAGCCAAAAACATACACACAAACAAAAAAGAGTGCTAAGGGAGCTTGCTATTGAGAGACTAAGAAATGGGGAAAAACAAAAATGAAAAAAAAAAAAAAGTAAAAGGGTAAAAGAAAAAGAATAAATCAAGAAACTGGAAATGAAGAAAGACAAAAAGGGAATAAGAGAGAAGAAAACAAACAAACAGAAAAAAACAAGGAAAAAGAAACGCGCACAGGGATGTCCCTGTGCATCTGCGCAGAATAAGGGAGTAGCTTCCAAGCCACACGGTACTGCCCGGCTGGAAGGGGCTCCCAAGTTGAGAAAAGAAAAAGAAAACAAACAAACAAATCAAAACAGAACA